CTGCCATCGCCAATGTTTAAAATTACGCAATCGGGTATTGAGACATTTTTTGTTCATGAGGCGAGGCGTAAGCCTCAAGGCGTTTTGAGGCGTAAGCCTCAAGGCGTTTTGAGGCGTAAGCCTCAAAATCAAAAAATTACGTAAAGTGATAATAAATGTCAAAAGTGTTTTTTATATAATACCTAAATAATATGTTAAATGATGACAAATTAATTTTATATTGAATTATGAATTAAGAAATTGACATACACATGGAACAAAAATTGCACAATATCTAAAATGATAAGTAATATATTGCATGAAATAGAATTAAAATCCAAATATTATAAAAGCAAAATAATATTAAATATAGAAATTGCATAAAAGTACCATATAGCATCATGCTCAACTCCAAATTTTCCTTTTTTATCAATTCTCTACTAATTTACATTTAATTCTTAATAAAAGTTGAAATAGTTGGCAACAATTTATGAATTATCTGCACTATCATCACTGAAGTGGTCTTTATCTGAGTTGTTGCATAACAAATTGGTCTATCCCCTGCCTTATTCAGTAAAGTTAAACGCCTCCCAATATGCTTCTTTTTAATTTATTTCAATCATATTCATCTTTTAAAAATATTTTCATCAAAATAAATATGAGATTAATGCTCCAAAATTTTTAGGGTGGTTGTGTGCAGCTTTCAAGTGATTGTCGGTGACGACTATGATGTTGTTGGTTACGACGTAGGCTACAGGATAGAGGTAGAGGCAATCGAGAGGAAGTTGTTGCGTTTTAATATGCATGAAGACATAATTTATGTTATTTTTAACAAAAAAATTATATAAATAGGGTGAGGCGTAAGCCTCATGCTAGCGAGGCAAGGCATGCCTCAAGGCGAGCCTCAGCCAAGTTGAGGCGCAAGCCTCATAAAAAAACTAGAGGCGTAAGCCTCGAGGCGTTTTTCACTAGAATTGCACTGAGGCGGGCCTCAAGGCGAGCCTCATATTGTGCAATTTAAAATAATGGCCATCACCTGCAGCTGTCCCATGCACCTGGACAAGGCATCTGCTGCTTTGTTCTCCACTCCTGGCCTATATTGAATTTCAAAAGAATACCCCAATAATTTTGACAGCCATCTCTGATGTTCCTCTGTCACCATCCGCTGCTCCAATAAGTATTTCAAACTCCGCTGATCTGTCCTGACAATGAAGTGTCTACCTAGCAGGTACGACCGCCACTTATGAATGGCCAAGACGATGGCCATCAATTTCCGCTCATATGCTGATTTTCGCCTGGCTCTAGCTGTCAACACCTGACTGAAATAAGCAAACAGTCGACGAATCTGCATGAATACTGCTCTCAGTCCATACCGGAAGCATTTGTCTCCAATATGAAGGCCTGAGTGAAGTTTGGTAATGCTAAGGCTAGCACCGTAGTCATAGCTCTCTTCAGCCTCTCAAAGGTTGTGACCTCCTCGCCCCATAGAAAGACATTCTTCTTCAGTTGTTCTGCCAGTGGCCATGTTATAGTGGTGTACCTTTTTACAAATCTCATGTAGTACCCCATTAATCCTAAGAACCCTCTCAGCTCTTTCAGATTCTTTGGTAATGGTCATCTCAACATAGCCTCAATTTTTGACTAACCGGATGACACCCCCTCCTTGGACAAAATATGGCCCAAATACTCCACACTTGTCTAGGCAAAAAAGCACTTCTTCAGGTTGACCCTCAGCTGATGCTCCTGTAACAGCTCTAACACCCTCCTCAAATGCTCTCAATGCTCCTCCTCTATCCTGCTGTAAACTAGGATATCGTCAAAAAACACCAAGACAAACCACCGAAGATAAGGTTTGAAGACCTTATTCATAAGTGAATGGAATATAGCTGGGGCCTTAGTGAAGCCAAAATGCATCACTATGAACTTATAATGTCCCTCGTGAGCTCTGACACCAATTTTTGACACATCTTCCTTCTTCCTTCTGATCTAATGATATCTTGATTTAAGATCTATCTTGGTGAACATCACCACCCCATTCAATTCATCCAGCAGTTCATCAATCACTGGTATAAAATATTTGTCTAGTACAGTTTCCTTGTTGATCGCTCTGTAGTCCACACAAAACCTCCAGCTGCCATCTTTTTTCTTCATTAGAAACACATGACCGAAAAAAGGAGTGATATTGGGTCTGATAATACTTGCCTCCAATATTTCTCTGATCAGCTTCTCAATCTCATCCTTTTGAAATTGAGGATATCGGTAGGGCCTGACACTGATGGGAGACACAGCCTCTCTCAAACTGATAGCGTGCTCCTGCTCCCTCGATTGTGGCAATCCCTGAGGTGGTTGAAACACCTCCTAGAATTATTGTATCAAAGGCTATATGGAGAGGGGGATCTCCCCTCCCTCCTCCAATCTAACTCCTTCCAACCTGTGCAGCTCCACCAAATAACCTTCCCCCACCTCGTTGATATTCCTTACCATGGTTTTGAGAGGCACCATGGATCTGGATAACCTTGCATCTCCCCTGATCATTACCTTCCTTCCATCCACAATCAGCTCCATCGTGAGGACTCCCCAATTGACCTTGGTATCCCTCAAGATCTATAGCCACTTCATCACCAGGATGACATCTATACTCCCTAACTCCGGTGGGAGAAAGTCCTCCCTCACCTGAATGCCCTAGATGGTCAACACCACCCATCTACATATCCCCTATCCTTTCTCCACCTTCCCAGTGCCCATCATTATCCCATAACAACTGGTGTCCACCAATTTCACTCCCAGTTGGTCGACAACCTGAGTGGAAAGAAAATTGTTGGTAGCCGCACTATCAATCAAAACCGCCACCTCCTTGCCCTCTATCTCCCCCCTTCACCTTCATGATATGATTCATAGTGAATCCTACCACCGAATTCAGGGAAACCTTTGCTAGATCTAGATGCAGCTTCTCCTCTTCCTCCACTAACTCCCCTTTGCTTCCCTCCTTAGTTTCCTCGTCATCACAGACAGTGAGAACCTGAAGAGTTTGATCCCTACACTTATGCCCTGGAGTGCACTTCTCATCACACCTGAAGCACAACCCTTTAGCCCGCTTCTACTGCATCTCCTCCGCCAGCCTCTTGAAATTTCCCCCATTACCTCCTACTTTCTCCCTGGTGACCTCACGAACTCCTCTTGTTGCAGGACCCTTGGGTGCTAAGTGGGTGGTCATCATCCTGTAAGTGCCTCATGAGTTGCTACTCCTGACTCTCTTCTCTAGGTTCTTCTAATTTTCCACCAGTTGTGCTAACTTCATGGCCTCTCCAAAGTCACGAGGCATCATGACTTTCACCGCCGCCTTGATCTCTGCCTTAAGCCCTTTCATGAAGTTTTCCTCCAATATGGTCTCTAATAATCGCTCCACCCAACTGGCTAGGTGCTCGAACCGCTCTCAATAGTCTTGCACCAATATGTCCTGCACCCGTACAAAAAACTGCTCAAATAAGTCCCCTCCCCAACAGGTTGAAAATGTTATAATAAATAATCTTTAAATGCTCTCTAGCTCCGTATAGGTCTCCTTTGGTCCCTTCACTAGAGCCATGACAATGCCTTCCCTTCCGAGCATAGGCCTGTTGTTGTCAATTTCTTCTCGTCCATCAACCCATTGACAGAGAAGTATCTCTCTACCTTGTAGATCCATCTATAAGCATTCTCCACTTCAAAAATTGGCATCTTATGCTTCCTCACCTCTATCTCTCCCCCGTTTCTCCGTATTCCTCCATATTTTCCCCTCCCAAGTACTTTGCTCTCCCCACGTCTCCCGATCTTCCCTTACATGTTCATCTTCAAACCCCTCTTCACTTTCTTCCCTCCTTTCTCCAAAATCAGCACCCCTCCTTCCATAATTCCCTCCTTTCTCTCCCAACCAGCCCCCTTTACTCCTTGATCCCTATTTCCCTGTCTCTCTACATACCTTCGCCCTTTCTCCTCAATGATTTCTTCATCATTTTCACTCCGACGAAAATCAAAATTTGTAGTTCTTCCCGTTGGTCCCTTAGCCTCCGATGTCGCCGTTTAAATTTGATTTTCCAATAACTTCCTCACCATCAAATGAAGATCGAAAACTTTGTCTTCCACGGATGAAACCTTGTCTTCCACAGACGAAACCTTATCTTCTACGGAGGAGATTCGATCTTCCACCATGGCTTTTATTTGGCTCATCTCTCCTTCAAAATGTTCTTCCAACGCATCTACCTTCTTAGCCGTCATAAAAAAATTCTGATTTTTGCTCCAAAAATTAGCAAGGGTTTCTTCCTCCAGATGGAGTTTTACCGCTGAAATTTAAAAAAAAAAAATCAGCCCCTGATGGTCCCAAGACTTGCTATGAAACCAATTTGATAGAAAATACTCGAGTTCGCAAGTAACCGTAATGGGAAATACTTGAGTTCACAAGCAAACCTAACAATAATGGGTGAAATCTGCGAGAAAACAATATATTGTATTATAGGAATCAAATCAAAAGCAAGAACAAGCAAAAATACAATTGATCCACAATTCGAGAGGAGGATCATTCTCTCCCAATCTCTAGATGATGAATCTAGAGCCCAAAGCCACAAAGATCACTCCAAGAGAAAACAATAATCATGCATGCCCTAACACTAACCTCTGATCCTTTAATACATATCTTCCTAATAAAAGTCAATAAAAAACTTCCTAAAATAAACCAAATTCAAAATAGTTTCCCTATACATAAGCCACTCCCTTCCCTCTCTCTGTCTACCGCCCCCTTCCTCTCTTTATCTACCGCCCTAGGGAGACCCACATGCTTGGGCGGCTTTCTAAGGAGGCAGCTTAGCCCGCCTCCTATAAACTTGAACCATCTCAGGTTGGGCCGATTTGGTCGGTTCAGGCAGAATTGTAACAAAATATCTCGTTCATTAAAAACTATCGTCATATTTTTGGTAAAACTTCCCTTCTGACAAGGACAACAAATCATGACTTGAAACTGTGAGACAATATTAAGTGGCATGATCGCAAACCTGCCAAAGAACTTGAAGGCAAGAGAAAAGTAGTGTGCTGGTAACCAAGTTGCCAGGAAGGTCTCTCTGCATGATAAATAGCAGAAAATTTGTCAGCAAAAAAGTATAATTCATGGTTTTCATGTTTCATAAGCAACACAAACGAGGTCCGTATCCAGTACCAGAAAAGAAAATTTACTTTAAGAATTAGAAAAGAAAAATGGTTGAGTGAATGAATGAGCTGGATTTTTAAAGTTTCTTTAGTTAAAGCAAAAACTACATAAAACCAACTAGTACCACTTAGAAAGATATAGAATAATTAAAGAATCGTGAATATTTTCATTCGACATGAACATAGAACTATCTTCAGTTTGAAAAGAAATAAGCTTTATGAACTTTAAAAACTGTATGACTTGTCAATCTCATCTTTTCTTTCCTTTATTAATCTAGGAATTGGCAGTTAATGTTAGCAATGAGAGAATGGTTGTGAATTGCTACAATAATAACTAGACTGTACTATTAGAACATGTTCACTATGCAAAATCTCTTTATCTTCCTTCTATAGGAGGTAATCGGCATTCAATCTCAGACAACAATTATGTACTGCCGTGAAAGCAACAAGCTTCTACTCTTAAAACGAGCATGTTCACATAGTGAAATATGCAGGATGATTCATGATCAGAGTTTTCTAAAGCAACCAATAATGTCAGGTATGTTTTTATGCCATGCAGAATAGAAAATTCACAAATCACTTTCTTTAAATAAAAATATATATAATATTAGAATTTAAGACCAATGATAGTGAAATGCTTGAAAATATAAAGAAATTATAACAAGAAATTGGAAAAAAAATTCAACAAGTAATACAATTAATTTTCATAAAATCGGATTTACCATGTATTACTTTTGACCAAAATTAAGAGCAATAAATTAGCCAATAATAAACTATATACAAGAAATAGATAATGAAAGAAATAATCAAGAAAAAACAAGCCTCGGAAAGGAGATAGCTTCCCCTGAAATTGAGTAGTCTCACTTGTACACTAACAAGTATCACAAATCCAGCCCGCGCTTACAAGATTGAAACTTTAAAAAAAAATTATTCAAGTGCAAAAGTTCTGAATTGCATGCCTCGTACAGCTATTTATAGACTTCTAATAACATAGGCTAGTAGACGGCATTATTAAAAGTACGCTTTAGGAGAAAAACAAAGAAATGCACTAGTGCATGTCATGCTACTTTGTAATGCTATAGCGTTGTGTACTAGGTTCCTGCTTAGAATGAAATCTTGGTTTAAATTTTATGCTGCAATTCAGCATATGCCACAATAAGGGCACAAACGTTCGCTTATCCTCATTGGTTTTCATGGTTCATGAGTTATTGCTAGTTGGTTATTAGTTCTCTATTGCTGGAGCTGATCACTTTTTTGTGGTTCTCTTCTTCATTTTCTCTTGTCGTTAGCTTTTTTATATGCTTATTGTACCTTTTTATTGTTGGCATTAATAAATTCTTACTAACAAGATTCTTCTCGAGAATACTTCTAAGCATATCCTCTACATGCTTCTCAGTGCCTTATTTTTATACACCCTCACTTCACACTACATCTACCTTTCGATCTCTAATCGGTCTCTCAATCTCACAAGTTTCAATAAATTTTAAAAATTTTAGTTAGTCTCACTAGTGCATTCTTGCTTCAAAACAGTGATCCCGCACACAACTACATGAGCATGCATGCCCAACTATGCGTGAAATGACGCGCATATAAGTGCTGCTAGAGTAACCATTGTGCATTGTGTTATACTTGGCGAATTCAAAACACTACTAATAGATAAGACTCACATTGGATTAATCTCAATTTATAGTTAAGTTAATCCTAATTCATTTTTAAAGTCCCCAACTCAATTGGCTATAAACCCTGTTTAAATTTCAAAACCCCAACAAAACAAGCCACAAATTACTCACATTGCTAACCATCCAATAAATATAACAATAACAACAAAATCAAGCCTTTATACCACTACGTGGGTTCGTCTACATAAATCATTTTTTCTACATTGTCTTATTAAAAGATTGAATTCTCATTTAAATCTAATAAAAAAATGTCATTTATAATATTTTCTAACCAAGTATTTTTAGGTCTACCTCTACCTTTCTTAACATAAGTCAAATCTAATACATTTAATCTCCTAACCAGGTCATAGAAAGGTCGCCATTCCAAACCATCTAAGGTGACTCTCTCTAATCTAATATTCCACTGGAGCTACTCCAACCTTTTCACGTATATGCTTGCTTCATATCCTGTCCCTAAGAGTAAAGCCACGCATCCACCTGAGCATCATCATCTCTGCAACACTTAACTTAATATTATGTTTCTCTTTTAATGGCCAATATTCTACGCCATAAAGCATTTTGCGGGTCTCACCACCATCTTATAGAAATTTTCCTTAAGTTTGAAGGAGACTTTTCTATCACACGACAAGCCCGATGCATTCCTCCACTTCAACCATCTAACTTGAATACTACTAATAATATCCCGATCTATTTCACCAACACTCTGAACAATAGACCTAAGATATCGAAAGCATGTAGTCTTATGACTTGATTGCCCAAAGTCACAATTCCCCAACTAGATTTATTACTGCTAAAATTACACTCCATATATTCGATTTTAGATCTACTCAAACAAAAACCTTTAGACTCTAAGGTTGACCTCCATAATTCAACTTTACCTTCAACTCCCTCTCTAGTTTTATCAGCAAGAAGAATATTATCATCAAAAAACATACACTAGGGTACAACCTCTTGCAAATGTCTAGTAAGAACATCCATGACTATAGCAGAAAAATATGGGCTTAAATCTGATCTTTGATGTAATTTAATTTGATTATAGTTATTTTTCTAAATAATTTTTTAAATAAATATTACAAAAATAAAATAAAATAAAATAAAATCCTCCCTTCAACTTATATATATCCTCATAAATTATCTATTCTTATTTAATTAGATTCATACAAAATTGACTTATTAATCATCTAATTAAATTTATATAAAAGCTGTCATAATGTTTACACACTCTCTATCTCAATGATACATTTTATCAAAAAATAATAATTAAAATTTTTCCATAATCTCATTATTATTTTCAAGTTTAATTTTAAAAGATATGCTCAAAAATTTAAAAAAAAAAAAATATCTAAATACAATTTTCATAACAAAACTTAACTTTAACTCTTCACATAAAAATTTATCATGCCCTAGCCTGCTCGCTCAATCCTTCTCCCTAGCTTCCGTGCTCTCTGGGTCTCCCTCGACGCCAATAATGAAGCCTTCCTTCTCCTTCTTCTTCCTCTTAGTTAATCGCTCTTCACAACCTCTTCTATTTGTGCAGTTCAAATGGAGTGAGCGGATCGGAGATATATTACACTAGGAGTCGCCGCTTTTCACTCTCGTATGTGTTTCCTAATTCAATCCCACGATCCGATCCTGTCTGAAGCGTCCGCGCCTACGTTTGGTCCGTCCATCTGGTCCGCTGGTCCTGCTTCATTCGTGGTTCTGCTCTCCTGCTTAGCGCAAGATCCAGTTTGGTTTAACCAGACTAGTCGATTCTTATAATCTCCCCTTCTTAAGTAAATTTCGTAATCGAAATTTACTTATCTATACTACTATTATAAGTGTGGCTTGAGTTTCCACCCCAATTATATCCTCATCATTCATTTTATTCATTTAAAAATGATCTTGGCCCTTCATTTTATTCATTTAAATGCATGACATTCTTTTCATTTATTTAGATTAATTGTATTTAAGTAAGAGCCAATTGTTGCATTTAATTGCATTTATTTTTATGTTCAATTAGGATTAATTAATTAATTTATTGTCATTATTTTTTAATTAATACTTAAACTAGCAACTAATACTAAATTCATTAATATATATATACATACATACATAAAATGTTAGTCATTATATATATATATATACATACATATATATATACATACATACATAAAATGTTAGTCATTCATTTTATTATATCTAAAATGACTTATAAATCATGACCTTTCATTTTTAAAATTAAAATAAACCTATACCGCCCGACTTCACTTGTTGGTTTCGTTGTGATTTTCGGCTCTCATAAATTTCGTTGTCACTTTTCATTTCTTCCCAAAAAAAAGTAAATACGACTTTTTGTTTCTTCACACGTTTTTAGACTAAAAAAAGTTTCACCTCTTCAATTATTCGCCAACCTCTTCAAATTTAATCAATCTTGCAACTCTTCTCTTATCCTAGCAAAATATGAGGTTGTCGTCGCTTCTCTTCCTCCAACTCTTCCTCTCATACTTTCTTTTTCTCTTTTGTATGTACAAATGAGACGGCAGCACTTACAAGCAGCTGGACGCTGAGCTAAAGTTGATGGTTTAGTATGGGCTCTGCTGCAAGACGTAGTTGTGGAGAGTTTCATATGCACCAAGTAGGATCAGGAATGTGGCGAGGGAGAAGAACCAATGCCATATTTTTTAGAGTCAGGATCTTATGCGCCAAATGGTTAGGCATGGACTTCTTGAGGAGGGCCAGAATATGCTTGATTATATTCTTGTTCTTATTGTTGAGAACTTCCTTAATTAAGCATCGGCTTCAGACTCAGGAGTTCAAGTATGAGATGGCCAAGTCCATCCACCATGTTAGTTCTCATCAGGCAGCACCATATCAGGAATTCTTCTTTGGAAGTCTCCTGTATTTTTGTTGGGCACAACTTAATTGTTTGATCTACTTTGATTATGGGTTTAGATTAGATCATGGGATTTAATAGGTTTGGTTTAAGTCAGCTTTTTCTACCTACTTAAAAGGAAAAAAAGTCGTTCAAATCTCAAAATTGGGTAGCTTTTTCCTTTGTTTTTCCTACGATTTACCTAAAAAGCATATCTTTTTTGACAGCAGACTAATATTAATCAACTATAAAATAGCTTCTTCTTTAACCTCTGAGCGAGAAGACAGAAAAACATGAGCCATGCAGAATGAAGCCGGACCATGTGGATCATTGTATTTTGGTAAGATATAACATAGTTTGCGTGGAGCATCTTGTTAGTTTT